TTCCGGAGGATCTCTTATTCCTACTTCAAAGTAGGAATAAGAGATCCTCCGAAAAGGGCGCTTTTTCCGGAGGATCGGGGCCAGTGTAGACGCTCTTTTCCGGCTTTTCTAAAAGCCGGAAAAAAGCGGCGGACATTTTTATTTAAATGCCGCGGGGGATATTTAAATCCCCCGCGGATTTCCCTATTACGACCTGTAAAATTAGCATGCCCCTTTCGGAAAAGGGGCCAGTGTAGACGTACCCGGGTTGTAAAATCCTGTTTAATAGGTTAACTGATTAATGGGGCCAGGGGAGCTGCTCTAGCTGGAGAGAAGGGAGGTGCGGGGAGGAGGAGTATATGTAGGGGGGCTCTGCTGGCCCTGCATGGGGCTGTTGGTTCCTGATTGGGACCCGGCAGCACCATGAGGGGTGGGAACCACCTGCAGCTGGCTGTTCTCGGGCATTGGTTAACCATTCCAGTTGATGCTTATTGGTAAACTGGTTATCCATTCACATCCCTATTTTTAACACAGTTTAAATGATTTTTAGCAAAATGCCAACAGACTAGTAACATTTTTTTACGTGTTCTCTTATCCTAACTTACATGAGTCTATTTAGATTTTTGACTGTTTAAAAAAAAAATTTCTATGCAATTCTGTACCTAGTAATCAATGATGTAAAATAACAGAGGTCTCAACTCTGAACCCATGGGTTGCACAATCCATCTGGAGAGGTGGGGAAATGGAGAATCACCATTATTGTTCCCCAAACACCACTCCTCCCTGCCATCACCTCAGGCCAAGGTAACCAGAATAAATGTGGACATTTATTTAACACAAAATGATATATGGTACCAGGGGTTTTAACCAAGTTCATAAAAAAACAATTTTGACTAAGAGTGAGTGAAATTCTAGATCCTCTGAAATTAATGGCAAAAAACTCCTACTGATTTCAGTGAATGCTTTTCATAATTGAGCCCTTAAATAGAACAATTAAAATGTTACAACAGTGAGTCATTTGGTGATTTTTTTAAATTGAGAAATGCTTTTGTCATTTTGCATTTGTGTTTCTTTTATGTCCTTTTCACTCTCCCCTTTCACACACATGATGCTGCCAGTTCTCTGAGCAATTAGTTTTTCATAAAGGAGTGTACTTTTGTGTTGCAGGGAATAAACATAAAGGTGAATTTCAGCTTTTAGTGAATCAGATAAATAACAGATGGAAGAAAACTGGTAAAAGGAAAATTGAGAGCTTACAAGAGAGAGAAGTACCCACTGATGAAGAACAAGCAGCAGACACAGGTGAGTAATGTTTAATGCATCTGCAAATAAAAATAATTTTCCTGAAGAAATTATACATGCACACATATCACAGAGCCACCAATTAAACAATGTCAACTGCTCATTGTTCATGTAAATCATGATTTAATAAGATAAATACTTACATGATTAACCCCAAATGTGAGTAATCCAGTCTAATAGAATAAAATCTAGCATAGATATTCTGTCTTCATTGCCTGCAATGACAAAGTAATACCCAATGGTGCTGTTAGTTCTCTCTCTATGGGTATGTCTACACTGCAAAGTTAATTTGAAATAACAGCTGTTATTTCGAATTAACTTTAATAGCTTCTATACATGCAAACCACTATTTTGAAATTAATTCAAAATAGCAGAGCGCTTAATTCGAATTTGGTAAACCTCATTCTATGAGGAGTAACGCCAATTTCGAAATCGCTATTTCGAATTAAGTGCTGTGTAGACACTTAATTCGAAATAGGGGGCCTCCAGCCCTTCCCTGGGAGGAGCCCTGGTGGCCACTCTGGGCACAACCAGGAAAACTTACTCTCCTCTCCCTCAGCCCCAGAGCCATTAAAGGGGTAGACCCTGGCCACAGTGCCTATGCCAGCTCCAAGCCCGCCAGCCCAGAGCCAGCAGTGGCCACTGGGGCCCCTGACCCAGTGGCCCCAGAACATGAGCCAGCAATCCACTGGCAGCCAGCCCTCACCGCTCCCCAGGAGCGGTCTGCCAGCTCCCAGGAGTCTGACAGGGGCTGGAGAAGGCGGGTGCCTTCCTCATCCAGGGTGGAGATCATGGACCTTATTTAGATTTGGGGGGGGGAGGGGTGCCCCCAATGTCCATGAGCTCCGCACTAGACGGAGGAATGCGGCCGTCTATGGCAGGATAGCTGCCAGCCTGGCCACCAAAGGCCACATGCGAACCCAGGAGCAGGTTTGCATGAAAATCAAGTTGGTCTGGTGAGAGCCTCAATCCTGGGCCCTGAGCTTCCCCTCCCCCTTCTTCCCCTAGCTTCTCCCTCCCCTCTTCCACCTCCAAGGTTTCCCCCTCCCCTCTCCCACCCTCTCTCTCCCCCTCTCCCACCTTCTTTTCCCAGTCTCCCCAGAGGTTCACCCCCTCCCCACCCCTCAGTTTTGTTCAATAAACCCAGCTTCTATTTTTGAACATACGTGTCTTTTGTTCGACATCAGGAAGGGGGGCTAGGGAGGGGTAAGTGGAAGGACGTGAGGGAGGAATGGGGCACGAGCCCCCGGTGGGGAGGACCGGGATGGCTCTGAGGGCTCCTTGGGGTGGATGCTTTCCCGCAGGGCCTCCTGAATCCTGACAGCCCCCCGGATGGCAGTCTGCAGCAAGTGCAGCTGGGCTGATGACAACGACCCCATAAGACGCACCGGCATGCCCAAGGGCAGCTCCGGCTCCATGTGGCCGAGTGCTGTGGTGTCCCAATTTTGGGCACTCAGGGCACTCCCAAGACAGGACTGCTTTGCTGTCCCTCATCGAGGTAGACAAGGGAACCCTGAGAACTGTCTGTCTGGGGTGGGTGTAGGGTCCCTTTAAGCACGGAGCTCAGTTAGCCTCAGGCAGCAGCCCCACACACTAAGTCCTAAGCTGATGCCCTGCTGGTACTGGTTCCGGCCAGCCTTAACTTTGGTTCAGGGTCCACTCAGTGTGGACGCGCTATTTCAAAATAATAAAACACTATTTCGAAATATTTTTTGTGTATAGATGCGTTAATTCGAATTAAGTTAACTCGAATTAACTCTGTAGTGTAAACATACCCTATAAGATTGTTCAGCCTCATTTGTTTCATGATATTAATTGTTGAGGCAATGTAGGTATATCTTGGGTCATGTTTCTGGGAAGATCTAGGAGGGTACTTCTGAATCTAATCCTTGTGGAATTTAAGCATATGATACTTACAGAAATTCACATAAATAATTCCACTGACCAAAGTTGGATAGGCGATGTTGGTTGCTGCCTCAGAAGACTTGACAGTTTACTTGATCAGGCATTTGAATCCCTGCTCTTCTCAAGATAATGGCATTGGTGCTTTGGCCTGTGAATAGCTCACAATCTATCTCCTTTGACAGAACCTTCATGAATAAAACTAAAGCAAAATACCACTGTAACACCTGAACTTTATGCTTATCATTTCAAACAGACACTGATGCACTAAATAATCATGTTCAGTTGAGCTACACTTGAACCTCTTTAATCACGTAACCCTGGGAAATGGGGTATGCCAGATTAAGGAAGTTGTGCAGCTCATGAAGGGTGTTAGGACAGGGACTGGGAGGGAAGGAAGTAGGGGGGCATGTGAAGGGGATGGCAATGGGGAACTTGGTGCACTGCTGATGGATGCACACATGGCTCTGCAGCCTCTGCCACTCCCTAAGGCACTCCCAGCCCTCTCACTGCTATGGGAGTGTTGGGGAAAAGCCTCTGGTAAAGTGCTGCTCTATGCTGCTGTTCCCCCAGCTGGAGGGGCAGGGAAGTAGCAGCACACAGAGCCATTTCCTCCTACCCCTGTCAGGGTCCGTACCACAGGTGCCCAGAGTACGGCGGTTCAAGTTATTAAAATTTTAGAAATCTTGGAGGCAAAGTTTACCTTTTTCAACTTGTTGAAATGATATTTTTTATATATATTTTGCCCCTTTCTTTAAAATCTTATAAGATGAAGGGATCATAGACTCTGAAATGTTAATTTCTAGCTCTGCTCTGTTATAAATCTAGGTCTCACGTACTATCACTGTACATCATATCTTCTGTGCAGCCATTCTGTTTGTGTTTTTTTCAATTGTGGGGCTTTATTGACAAACTAAACTAAAATAAGTCAGACATAATTTTCCCCAAAGCTTGCACATGTCTCTTTAAAAAAAACCACAACCCCTCTCGTATCATATTTTCAGCTATATTGGTTTATTAAATTTTCAACTCACATTACAGAGGATTTTATTGTATTGCACGTACCTTATTGTCCCTAATATACTTATCCCATCTAGTTTGCATCATTTGGTGTTCTTTGGTTTTGCTTAGTGCAAGTGATCACAAAAGACACATCATGTGCTCACAACCTTTTGTAGGCCATGAAATTTTAATGCATTTTTTTCTGACAGATTATAGCTGCATTTGACTATTCTTTCATCCATAATTCCTGTATCTGGTTAACAATGCTTTAAAAAAATAAACCCATCAAAGAGTGTTCCTCTGTGTCTTCAGTTAAAGATAATTTTGCTCTGTGTCAAACTGTATAATTTAATAGGGGAGAGAGAAAAGAATAGTGGATTAATGAACTCCTGTGTGAATGCTTCACTAATGAGACTAGAAACCTCTTCTTGCATGTTGTACAATTTATCTGGTTCCTAGTGGAAATGTAATGTCCATTTGTTGGCTCTTCATTTAATATCTCCCTTTGACTTCTACTTTTTAGTGATTGTCACCATTTCAGGGTAACTGTACTTCTGACCCTATCCATGGTCTGCTCAAGGAATATCCTCTTAAGCTTGTAGCTGTTACCTCTGGACAAGTTCATGTGTCCCTCTCCTTCCTGGCCAGTCTAGCTAGGAGTCCTGTTCCAGAACATTACTTTCTTTCTGGGGGCTGTGATCAGTGTATACCACTGGTTGAGTAACTGAACAGCTTTTTCAAGGCAGAGTACATTTATTTAAGCACTGAACCATACAAAGAAATTTCATAAAACAACAAAAGATCTGAGTGTACACAGAACGTACCAAAAGTACCCCATCAATTCGATGAGGCCGTGGCAGCTTTCAATTTTCCAAGCCTTCCACAAGGTTTAGTGTGATCCCTCCAGACAAACAAGTCATACCCATTGCTTGGCTCAAAATCAAGCTCTCTCTGTTGATTCTAACTGACATTTTATACCCTGGATTCTTTCTGTGACTCCTGTGTCTCCTGAACTGAACCAATGTCTGAAAACTTGGGTGGGTACTTCTCTGAAACTATTTAGTTATAGAGACTGCAGTAATTGCCCGTTTCTCCCCAAACTTTATAGTCCCTGAAGGGACTCTGGTTAATGTGCCTCTTCCTTCCATGGAGCAGAATACAATCCCTAGCCTACAATGTTATATAGTATTCATAAAGTTAGAACAATGGTCCCTACAGATTCTGCATGTGGCTGCAATCTCGCTTTGTGAGCAGGTTGAATTTAATGGGCTTTGCAAATGTTCCAGATTCTTACTATGGTTTTTGATGGTGCTTGAATCACTGTTCTCTTCCTACAGCTGAGGAAAGATAACAAAGACTGTCTCACTTGATCTTGATCTGTTTTTAAATTTCTAATCATAATATTTTTGTGTTCTTCAACTGTTGTTTGATTTGGTTTTTGACTTAAGGCCATGTTAAAAAAAAAGTTTTAATTTTGGATATATCTTCCGGGGGATCATATACATACCTAATAGATTTTTCTCATTTCTAATCCATTAATTTCAATGGTACTATAGTTGATTTATGTTTGGAGATTTAGTTAATTGATTTCTGAAATGCATTCTCAACTGACAAGATGGATCCTCTTGATATTTATTTTAAGGTGAGGGAAATGGTGCCTAAAACTACATGCCTTTATCCACATTGTAGCTTCAAAAGTATTTGATATTTTGTCAAGATCAGTTCTGCAGTTCTAGATGAAGTCTTTTTTTCTTCTAAGTGATCATAGTTTACTTCTCTGGTATTTGGAGGACACTTTTTATTGCAAACTACCATAGCTGGAACTAGGCCTGCCAACAGCGGGCAGAGGAGGCAAGGGGGCACTTGCCCCAATACCTGGCATTACAGAAGAACCTGAAGCTCCCAGCTGCCACCGGCGCTATGGCCCAAGAGCCTCCGGCCCTTTAAATTACCACTGGAGTGCTAAGGCTTGGCTGGGCAGGGAATAGGCATGGCACACTCTGTGTGGTGCTGAGGGCTGGCTGCCCCCAGCCCTTCTCCTTCTCCCTGAGGTCCCATCTATTCCAGGATCTGGCAGGACTGTCAACTCCCATGATAGGGATTAATGTCTATTGGGGTTTGAGCATCGTATCTCAAGCAGGGTTGTAACATAACCCTCATTGCATTGAAAAATGAGTGTAGACAAGATATACAAATAATTTAGTTTCTTTATAATATTTTCTAGGAAATAGTGGACATCTTTGTCCCTCTGGAATGGCAGAGGGAATCACTTGGAGGTGACAGCCATGTGTATTGATTCTGTGGGTGCTCTGGGACACGAGTACCCACAGGGAAAAATCAGAGGGGTGCTCAGTACCCACCGGCAGCCAAGACCCCCTCCCCCACCATTTTCTACCCTCCCTTTGTTCTCTCACCCCAGCTCCTCACCTGCTTGTGATCCCACTGATCTGCTTCTTCTCCTCTCTCTCAACTCCTCCCATTGCCACAAAACAGCTGTTTGGCAGCATTTGGGATGCTCCTGAAGGGAGGGGTAGGAGTGAAGATGCAGCATACTCAAAAGAAGGGATAGAAGGAGGCACAAGGCAGGGACGAAGTGGGGGAGGGCTTGCAGCAGAGTGGGAAGTTGAGTACCCCCATCTAGAGCAGAGTTGATGCTTATGATAACTGATAAAACCATTTGTCGAATATAAAAAATAACAGAACGGTTTTAGAAAAGTATTTCCTACATATGTTTCCTTAATTTAAAAAAACAAAAAAGACAGCAGACTGACATTTCTGTCTTTTCAGACGCATTGCCAAATCATCAGCTTAGTTTTATATACACTCAATTTATAGCCTTGAGCTTTCAAACTTCCAGATTATAAATCTGTTGACTGTGATAACATCAAGTGGTATTGGGCACCAGTGAACAGAGGTGCCACATTTTGAGTGCTTGCTAGTTTTTAAAATATGATGTCAGTTCCTATAATTGAAGACAAGTGCACTTAAATACCCTTTGCATTTTCTCCCATCTTTGCATAAAATAGATACTGGACAAATGTTGCTGCTTTTATTTTTGGTTCATGGTGGATGTTAATTATGTTGGGAAAAGAAACGAGTCAGTGTATTGAAATAGTAATCTTGCACAGGTAGTCGAAGTGAGGAAATATGTTTGAAATATGATAACTTTGTTTTTTCCAAACTAGGGTGTTTCTACATAGTCGGGCTTAATTTGAATTGAGCTACATCAATTGCACAGATTATTTGGAATTTGGGAGCATATATACAGCATTTATTTTGAAATAGAGCACTCTTCCTCTGACTTCCTTTACTCCTCGTACTATAAGGGTTACAGGAGTTGGAGTAAGAAGTTCTCTAGCTTCACAGTATTTCAACATTATTTCAAATAACTGCCTGCTGTGTAGATGTAAACTAAGTTATTTAGAAATAATGTTGCTGTGTAGGCGTACCCCTAGAGAATAACAAACAGGAAAAACAAGAGAAACTGAATTATCTATGAGGTATTAAACTCTGTTTTATCTCTGTCTTGTATTATTTCTTCCAGGAGAACAGAATATTAAAAAACAATGCATAGACCACATGTCTGTAACAGACCAGGTACTCAAAATAGAAATACCTGATTTTGACACAAGGAAATCCCATAATATGGCTGAGACCTCGGAATCTCTTTCTCCTGCATTCTCAGAATCATCAGGATCATCAAGAAGGTTAGTGGCATAAGAATTTATAATGCCTATCTTTCCTCCTTATGTGTCTTATGATAAAAGCTGACAACAAAGTTCGGAAGACTTGTGATAGCAGCAAAATCTAGCCTTTCCTTGAGCTTTTATTTCAACTTCTTGGCAATGAATCCTTTTTTGTATCATTAAGTTGGGGGCTCACTTAATTACAAGTAATGAAACAAATTTGTGCATTTTCAAACAGAGATATTTTTGAAAAGAGATTCGGTTGTGTTTTTATTGGCAATGAATTGCTTTGCTAATATAAAACCAGTTTTGCTATCCATTCCTTTTCATTGTTTCATATGTTTAGTGTCTGTTTAGGTTGTTTCCCATCTAACAGTTAATTTGTCATCCATTCGTATGTCGGAACTGTAAGTCTTTCTGATACATTTTTGATGTCTCTATGACCTTCTAGATTCTAGAACTAACTCGGGAATATGTGGTAAATAATCATTTATAAACAGTTGCAGTCAGCTCTGCTTTACGTGTGTGTGCGCGCGTGCACGCATTTTGGCTTCATCTGTTCAACCTATAACGCAGTATAACCAGAGGCACATGACCAAATTTTAATTAACAAAGAGTTTGGAGTAAACATGTGGCAGCATGAAGCCCACAGGTTTATTTGTGTACAGTTTGCAAATTGGAAGTCTGTTCACAGGGCTTGATGATGGTCCAACTCCATGTAGTTCACACTGAGGGTCAGGCTTTACCAACACACATCTCAAAGTGGGATTCCTTGCCCTGAACATTACTGCTACTATAGCTGCCTCAGGATTTCTGCTTTTTGTTTTAGTTTCACAAAGTAGATTGTTGAGGGGAAATCAGGCTAATTAATACAAAAATAGTGCCTACTTCTCATCTATTTTATTCATTTTATTTGCTTGATTTTAAGCTGTTTGGCATTAACATCCTCAGCAAATCTGGATTTTAATGTTTTTAAACTGAGAAGGTTTTTCTGGAGTGGAAGAAATAGTTTGTAGAGGCTCATTAATCTTCTGAATCCATTAAATTTCTATTTTATTGGAAGTTTGGTGTTAAGATATGTCCTAGGTCTAAGGGCCCTCTCCTGTACCTGTTCATGTTCAAGCAAACTTGACTTTATGTAGGAATTTTAGGATCTTGCCCTCAGTGAAGTTACTTTCCTGTTTACATTTTGTGTGTGCTTTCACACCTTAATAGGAAATGTGACTGCTTTGTTCTCATCCATTGCTTAAATGTACCGAACATATAGAAATAAAAAACCAAAATGTAACCCTGTCTGTTCTTTAATTTTATGTAATTAAAGAAAACACTAAAAATAAGGAATTGTAGAATGTATTGTAGCAAATACTTCAGAGTTGGAAAATAGTTTAGTGTGTTTGTCTTTTGTTCACATGTCGGGGCTGTTTTGTGTTATGCTCTTTAGGTAAATTCAGATTATATTTTAGCGGTATCAGGTATCCTATTCTTTTAAAAAGTCTTGATACACCTGCCAAATTGAAATAAAGATTATTATAAATTTATCTGTTGTCATTCTGCTTTCTGGTGAGGCAGAGGTGCAGGAGTCAATGTTGGGGGTCAGGAGGGGCTCAGGTTGGGGGATCCCATCCAGCACAGGCCTTTTCTTTCCCCAGTCCCTGCCCTAACCACCAAGGGCTCTTTCTCTCCTCCAGGGCGCTACCCCCTGGCTAGCCAAATTGAAATAAAGATTATTATAAATTTATCTGTTGTCATTCTGCTTTCTGGTGAGGCAGAGGTGCAGGAGTCAATGTTGGGGGTCAGGAGGGGCTCAGGTTGGGGGATCCCATCCAGCACAGGCCTTTTCTTTCCCCAGTCCCTGCCCTAACCACCAAGGGCTCTTTCTCTCCTCCAGGGCGCTACCCCCTGGCTA